AATCAAGTAAAGCGAAGCTGCTTCAGTCCAGCTGAAATATTACTAACAATATCAAAGTTATTCCTTGATAAATCAGGTCAGATTTGACACAGAAAGACTCGTGAAGCTCGAGCTGAAGGAGGACGTTTGTACAATTACACTGAAAGACTTTTACTGGATAAAAGAGTCTAAACTCTCAGTCAGAGACAGAAGGACTGAGGAGATCGAGTGCGACAGGTTTAACAATGTTGAGCATTTTAGAGACCGTGTGTATCAAACATGATCCAGTAGACATTACAGGGTTAAAATGAACATTGGTCTGTTCAGAAGGCTGTAATTATACTGTATGTAAAAGAGCATTCTGTCCAACGTCTACTTTTACAGGTTTGGAACAACATAAGGGTAATAAACGATCATATTTTGGTGATCTCTCTTTAATAAGAGATGCAGTACGATGGAGACGGATAAAACGCTGCTTTCAGAGAGAGGTGACTTTGAGGAGCTGGACTGAGTCTCATGCCAAACATCTCTCTCTCTCTCTCTCTCTGTCACATAATCCTCAGTCCTCGGCCCGGTTCTGGGAGCGCTTGTGTGAGGCGGGTCAGTTCCCCGCGATCACAGGGCTTTAATCTGAGCGGCCGCCTGCTAAACTGGCTGTGCGATCCCTGAGAGAGACAGCTAGAGGTTGTCTGTACATGGATGGGCACTTCACAGCTCGGCGGGGGGGGGGAGGAAGGGGCATCTCGGCAGATGCTCGGGGCATATGGGCAGAATTCATTAAAACAGCCCAAAAAAGCTCATGTGAGCAGAGAGACAGAGAAACAAAGTACAGCAAGTGTGTGTGTGTGTGTGTTTAAGCGCACTTTTGTGTATTCATATACATCACTCTTGAGTCTTGCATCATGCTTGAAAGTTGTGTTAGACCTTGAGCCAGTGTTATTTTATTATCATTCATATACTATTATCGCTTTTTCTGCTTTCATTTTAATTTTAGTTAAAGTTTTAATGTTGTGTTTTTGTCTTTTTTTTAAATGTCAATATTGCTTAAGTTTTATTTTATTTAGTTTTAGCTATGAAAATAAGGATTGTATTGCTTATTCTCTGAAATATATTACGTTTATTTCAGTTCATGTTTATTATTATTAGTTAGTTCGTTTGCTATAAAGTTACTAAACTAGCAGTAAGCTAGATCAACATTAGAATAACATACTGACCATATTCTAACATTTCATCATGTTGAGCTAACGTTATATAACATTGATTTGTTTTATGTACATTTGCTCACCTGTCTAATAAAGCTGTGAAGCTCTGTCAAGTCCAAGTTAGTCGCGGACGCTAGTTCTCGGCATCTCAAAAACGCCACGCTGATGTTGATCCTCATTTTAGTTCTCTTTGTTTGTCCCAAAGTCTGCTTGCCATGGTCTGTTTGAAAGAAACAAGAACTGCGTGCCGCTAAACGCTACGCACTGCGCAGTTGTCCACGTCCGTCGCCATGGTTGCGTCATGGCTATGGCAGTATGAACGGAAACCGAGGAGAGCGCGGATATTGCGTCGCTGACAGGCGACATTTTTTTTCCAGGACCGCCACTTATTTAAAATGGGAATTTCTCTGAAATAAAAAATCTTTGGAGACTTTTGGGATATGCAGGAAATATATCACACTGTGCAAGTGATTTTTGGATATTTTATTACAAAATTCTTACATATTGTACCTTTAATTTGCCATAATTTAAAAAAGTTTTTAATGTGTTCATTTATAGTGGAAAACGGTGTGTTAAAAAAAATCTTGGTTACTGTTGTAACCTGATGGAGGGAATGAGACGTGGTATCGATGACTGGCACTCGGGGTCATACTTGGGAGACCCAATCACCTCAAAAATTGTCAAGTGGAATTTGCATGCGCCACTCCCCCGGACAAACAGGTATAAAAGGATCTGGCATGCATCCACTAATTTAGATTTGTGCTGAGGAGCCGAGACAGTGTCCCTGGTCATTTCAGAGGGGCAGTTCAGCATTGTGGCTGGAGGGACCCCACGTCTCGTTCCCTCCATCAGGGACCGGAGGTTACAACTAAAACTGAGACGTTCTATATCTGTCACAGAGGACAATACTTAGCATGAGAATAGGTCGCTTTAGCCGGTGTTTTGGCCTTTTTTTATTTTAATTCACAGCTGTGAATTCTTCAGCCAAATTTAACTGCCGTAGGGTGCTGAAAAGTAAGATACATCCAGGGTTTGCTGGTCCAGGGAACTCATATGGACAAAGAAGTACACATTATTCCAACAGGGAGGGGAAAGGCTCTGTATGCAAGTGGTATAACCTGGATGTTTCCCGCAACTTACCTGTTTGTACCCAAAGGGAAACGGGACAAAACTGGCACAACACGGAAAATGTAAAATCTTGCGAAGGTATTGGGTGTAGCCCAGCCATCTGCTCCACAGATGTCTGTTAGAGAGGCGGCATTTGCTAGAGCCCAGGACAGCCACACTTCTTGTGGAGTGTGCATGCACTCCTAAAGGGCCCGGCACGCCTTAGGGCCGGGTATGCGAAGGCAATGGCATCCACAATTCAGTGGACCATCCTCTTTTTGGAGACAGCCTTCCCCTTCTGCTGTCCCCTAAAAAAGACAAAGAGCTGCTTAGAGCTTCTGAAGCTCTGTGTGCAGTCCAAGTAAACATGCAGGGTGCATCCTGGACACAGCAATCACCCCGAGGTAGTGCTTGCAAGTTTCCCACTTAGTCCCTAAAAGGGGTAGTGGGAACTTTGGGCACATAGCCTGGCCAGGGTCTCAGAATCACGCGAGAGTATGCCGGACTGAACTCAAGGCACGTTTCTCTGACAGAGAACGCCTGCAAGTCCCCAACCCTCTTGATCGAGGTGAACACTGTCAGGAGCGCCATCTTCAACGAGGGCAAGAGGGCCCAGCAAAACCATAGAGAGATCCCATGAGGGAATAGGGCATGGCCTAGGAGGAATCACCCTCTTGGCACCTCTGAGGAACCTGATGATCAGTTCATGCTTTTTTGGAGACAGTATGCCAGTCACATACACTTTCATGGTGGAAGGGGACAGACGGCCTTCCAACCTCTCTTGAAGGAGAGCACTGACCCGAAAGCGTGTCTTTGAAAGTCTTCCCCTCGAAAAGAACACCAGTTTGCGAACAGACTCCACTTCAAAGCATACAGCCGCCTCATAGAGGGGACTCTGGCTTAAGGGAGTGTCTATAATTGCTGGTGATGGGCCATTAAGGTCTACTGCATCACGTCCAGAGACCAGACGTGGAGGCTTCAGAGGTTTGGGTGCAGGTGTCAAATTGTGCCCCATCTTCACCAGGTAGGGGCTGTAGCAATGATTATGAGGGAGCATTCGTCCAGGGCAATGGGAGCATTCCTGGAAAGCGAACCGGTCTACCTGCATTTTGCTGAATCAACACCAAATCAGCTGGACCGCCTAGGGTCTCCACTCCCCCTAATGTGTCACTTGTCGTGAAAGCAGACGGGGGGCGGTGCTTCGGCATCCTAAAATTGGCAATCGCACCGAGTCAGGATGTGTTTAATAGCATACGTCTGCTTCTTTACTACCGAGAACGGCTTGGCAAATTCCTTGACAGTGTCACCGTAGAGGCCACCCTGCGAGATGGGGGCGTCGAGAAAGCAAACTTTGTCCGTGTCCCGTATCTCAGCAAGGTTCAGCCAGAGATGCCGCTCATGGACCACCATAGTGGACATCGCCTGGCCGAGAGCCCGCACCGTGACCGTCGACGCTCATAATGCGAAGTCTGTTGCCGAACGCAGTTTTAGCATCAATAGTCTGATGGACCTGCAAGATGGCCATGGCATGCAAGGCGGAAACAGCCAGTCCAGCGGCACTGTAAGCATATGCCGTTAGAGGGAAAGTAAACGTACAGCCTCTGGATGAGAGTCTAGGACGGTTCCGCCAGGTGGCAGCGTTTTGTGGGCGTAAATGCACACCAATGGAACCTCTATGTACAGTGGCTTCCCCAACAATGAGGGTAAGAGCCGAAAAAGCGGGACCAGGCAATAAAAGGTGCCCTCCACGACTTCAGCTCTTCATGTACTTCTTTCAACTGCGAACGCTCGGGACAGGGTGGAGGGTTCTCCGCCAGCCCGATGCTTGCGACGGCTTGGGCAAGCATGGCCGCCAACTCTGCATCAAACTTGGTCTGGAATACCACACCTGAAGGTGGTCCACCTGAGTCCTCAGCATCGGAAGGCATTTGCCCATCCCCGATGCTGTGATCGATAATTCGTCCCCATCTGAGAACTCGGCTGCATGTGATGCAATCTCAAACTCATCCGGGATGATGATCTTGCGCCAAAGATCGTGACCGTCCTTCTCAACGAGGCCAATGGAAATGAGCTTGTGTGTAGAAGAACAAATCCAAATGACTGGATGCAAGCCAGCTACCTTTATACCCGTATATCCGGTGAAGTGGCGCATGCAAATTCCACTCGCCAATTTTCATTGGCCTTTTCTCAAAATATCAGAGTTGATTGCGGCTCACAAGTATGACCCCGGGTGTCAGTCATTGACACCAAGTGTAAGTGATTGACAGATATGGAAACCAGTGATACTTAAGCATTATTTATATACTATTACAGTATTTTGAAGTAGCTTTTATTTTGATATGTTGATAACATTTTTGTTATTTGTTTTATTTAAATATTTCTATTTATCTTTCATTAAATTTGTATTTAATTTTCAGTCATTTTAGCACTTTAACTTATTTTAGTTTCCAAAGCAACATTTCTCATTTTTAAGTTTTTCATCTAATATTTATATTGTTATTCTATTTCAGCTCTTAAATTGTCAAAAAAAAACGATTTTTAATAGTGTTAGTTTTATTGAAATCAGCATGGTCCACAGTGTGGTTATTGGTAATTGTTTTTATTTTGAATCTACTGGTCAAAACAATGTATCCTCTTTTTTTTAACTTTTAAGCCATTTAAAACAAATACATAACATACAAGATATATACTGAAAGCATAAATTACAAGATATATACTGAAAGCATAAATTACAAGATATATACTGAATATCATCAAGGCTAAAAACAAATTGAGCATGACCATTAAAACATTTCACAGACAAAAGGTAAATAATTAATTACTGTTTATGGATAATTTCATGAGAAATATAAATTTTTCAAAGAGTGAAATTTGATATTCTAACTTAAATGAAACGCGTTATCTTAACCAACAAACAAGGCATGATAAAAACACAGGAATTAAGCTCACCGTGTTTGAAACAGCTGAGAACCGGACGTTTCGTTCACGGTCGATGGTCTGGTCAATAATGATAAGGCTGGCTTGCTCGGATGAGCAAAGTTCATTTTAACTCAATCAACTGGATTTCAGTTTACCCACTCATTAACCTTGGATTTACGCTTTTCCCAGATACTACAAACGGTGACAAATGTCTCCAGATTGATCCAGTTAAGAAAAGCAATGTTTCTGGGTTTGCAAGGTTAACCTTAATGAGAAACACACACAGCGTAAAGCCGCGTGATGTCACCGGCAATGACAATGACATAGTCAAGAAACACATTCAATATGAACAATATCTGAACACATGAAGTGTAAACGTAACCCTACAGAGACACGTCGAGCTGCTCGTTCCTCCTCAGGCCACAGGAGGCGGCGACTGCTCCTCTCGCTCTTCTTGATCCCATTCCGTCTGGAGTTCAGAGGAGACTTCGGTGAACAGATGATCCCAATCCCAAGCAACATCCTCCTGAAAACCATGAAAACCCATCATAGGAACTTCATTAAGAGAGAGAGGCTGGGAAGAACTAGAAGAACAGTGGCTTTAAAGGGACACCTACAAATTCATAATTTACTTACACTCATGCCGAGTAGGGGTGGGGGAATAAAAAAATCGATTCTTTGATGCATCGCAATGCGGACGTGGACGATTCTGAATCGACAAGAGCAAGACAAGAGCCACACTTTATGCAAGTAGGGCTCCAGACTGCGACCAAATGGGCAACCACGTTGTGCAATTGATAAGAGCTGCAACTTCTGCTACATACGATACGAGAAACATCAAACGAAACGAAAGTTACGAAACCGCGCTATTCATTTGAGCTTCCGCGCAGCGCGAGCTCAGAACAGGTTTACTCGTGGGCCAATCTCAATCACGCGACACTGTTATTACACAGCGCTGGGAGATCCAGGGAGAAAGCGTTGAGTTCACCGCAGATAAATAACACGCAGCGAGATCAAACGGCGCAGATGTGGAAACCAGGACAACCTTAAAAGCTTCCACCCGACTCGGAAAAGGCAAAGCGAATTACAAACTCTATCACAACATGTATTGCCACATCACTTCCCGTTCACAAATCACGTGTAATTAATAAAATATATTGGAAGTAAATTCATTATGGATCATTACAAATACTTTGCTTTAAAAGTACCATCTTCTGTAAGGAAACGATGTGATGTACTCAGCAGTTCACAGTGAGCATGTCTGTCAAGATCCAAGGATGAAAAACAACAATAAAATTATCAAAGGGGTAGGAGTACATGAGTTTTACTTCTTCCTACTCCTTTTTGTACATGTAAATAGAGTTGTGGTTTTTTTGAAGTACTGGAAAGTATGGAGTTTTATTTTGTTGTTCATCTGTTTTTTTACCAATATTTTTTTTTTTTTTTTACTCTGATTTTTTTAAAATTGTATTTACATGTTCAAAAAAAAGATATCAATCAATCAAGAAAGTAGAGTCGAGGACACGGGGTGCACTACATTCAACTGAGTTTCTCAGGAAAAGCATCAACTGCAGGACTTTTAAAAATCATTTTGATAGTTATTATTGTCCTTGTCGTAATGGACTGTCATTGCATACACTACCGGTCAAACGTTTGGAATTATTACGATTTTTTAAAATGTTTTTCTCTTCTGCTAAAATGTTATTACAATGTAAAATATATGTTTTCTAAGTGAATATGAATTATAAAGAGTAATTTATTCCTGTGATCAAAGCTGAATGTTCAGCATCATTACTCCAGTCTTCAGTGTCACATGATCCTTCAGAAATCACTCTAATATGAGGATCTGATGCTCAAGAAACATTTATGATTATTATCAATACAGTTGTACTGCTTTATATTTTTGTGGAAACCGTGATACACTATCATTAAAAAGTTTAAGGTAAGATAAAAAACAAACAAAAAAAAACATTATTAATCAAGGATGCATTAAATTGATTAAAAGTGACAGTAAAGACATGTATAATGTTACAAAATAATATATTGCAAATAAATGCTGTTCTTTTGAACTTTCTATAAATAAAAAATCCTGAAAAATAAAATGTATCACAGTTTTCACATAATTATGAAGCAGCAAAAAAATCAATTTTGACATTGATAATACTGATAAATACTGAGCATCAGATCCTCATATTAGAGTGATTTCTGAAGGATCATGTGACACTGAAGACTGGAGTAATGATGCTGGAAATTCAGCTTTGATCACAGGAATAAATTACTTTACTAAATATTCACATAAAAACTGTGATTTTAAATCATAATAATATTTCACATTACTTTTTTACTGTATTTTTGATCAAATAAATGCAGCCTTCGTTCCACAGAAGAAACACATACGAGTATGTAATGATATGAGGGTGAGTAAATGATGACTGAATGTTCATTTCTGGGTTGACTATCACTGTAAAACATTACGAGAAAGTATGAAATGAAGAATGCTGGTCGTGATTTCCTAAATCTGCTGGTCTGACCCTCTTCCACGCCCTAGAAAGAGCCGGACCAACGCTATATTTACCCCTAGAGCTCACCTCTCTCACCTCCTGCTCCGGGGCTAAAACCTTCGTGAGCAGCTTCAGGTCAATCTCTCCATCCTGGAAACATTCAATACAAGCAAAACATTGGGCAAACAATTACTGATAATACCACAGCTATGCAATCTAATCCCAGGTCAGCATATTCACCCCAAAATACTGTAGGATGGGAAGGATCCTCTAAAATGATTCAGAAACCTTACGCTGCTTTACAAGAGAGTCAGCAGTCTGTGTTGTTGTTTAGGAATGATGGGAAGAGTGAGTGTCTCACCAGGGTCTGGAAAGCAGAGTACTTCATGAGGTCGTTGTCCAGGTCTCTGTAGGTCATGACTCTGTTCACCTGGATACTGAGGACAAGAGAGAACTATAAACACGTCATCTTAAAGGGCCAGTTCACCCAAAAATGTAAACTCTGTCAGTAATTACTCTCCCTCATGTTGTTCAACCCCGTAAGACTTTCGTGAACTACGTGAACTCAATAGTTGAATAAGTCGTTATTTTGGGTTTCTTTGGCACACAAAAAGTATTCTCGTCGCTTGATAAACTTAAGGTTGAGCCACTGTAGTCACTCGGACTATTTTAACAATGTCTTTACTAACCTTCTGGGCCGGCAAGTTTCAATTACAATAGAAGCCTATGGAGGAGTGATCCAGCTCTCAGATTTAATCACAAATATCTTAATTTGTGTTTCGAAGATGAACAAAAGTCTTACGGGGTTGAACAACATGAGGGAGAGTAATTACTGACAGAGTTTACATTTTTGGGGTGAACTAACCCTTTAAAGACTAGATTGTAATCCCTTTAAAATCGCTGATAGACAACCAGATGAAATTCTTTGAAACTTTTCAGCACTCAAATTAAGAATCGATTGAAACTTTGACAAGATGAAAATATTATGGCAAACCATCACACGCTAGACATCCTAAAACTATTTCACCTTTAACACTGACTTAAGATATTAATTAAATATGTTTAGGGCAATCACTATGTTTGATTTTGGTTTCATTTTCCATTTAGCTTTCTAAAGGCAGGTCCGAAATCAGAGACTAATTGTGATTATTTTATTCCATGACAGCTCTAGATTAGCACAATTAACTACTCAAGATTAGTTGTTTAATTTGCACTTTGTTGTTTGTTAAGCACAATATTCTCATTAAAGCTGATCTGGAATTATATTTATTGTGAAAAGAATCTGAATTGAAAAAATGTTCATCCTCTTGTTAACCTTATATAAAGTAAATATTTCCCAGATAATATTTTAATAATTTGTTTTGGCTTCAGTACAGTGGCAATATAAAACCAATTATTTTTTATCTGGGAACGGATAACTTGCATATTATTTGTTGTTGCTTATTATAAAAAAAAATAAAAAAAAAGAATAAATGGGTTTGTGTACATGAAAATAAATAGCTGCCTTTGTATTTTAAGAAAGGTGTCCCACATAAGGTAATCATCATATTTGTCCTTTTACTTTTGTGCTTTGTGTTAAAGCCTCAAGGAAATATATATACATATATATATATATATATACTGTATGTATTCTATTTCACTGTTTCTGAACTCCTGAAACGCCTCCATTGTAGTCTTGAGTTTCTTCCGGGAACGAACACGTCACAATATTCCTCATTATAATAATTAATACGCAGAATAAAGGGGCGGGGCCTGGTTGAGTTAGTTAGTAGTGTGTTAAACTGGCGGTTATGGGAAGGGGCGGGACATTTCCCAAACACACTCGAAACGCTTGACCAATCACAACACACTAATCCAACCGACCAATCAGAGCACAGTGTGCTTTTCAGAAGGAGGGGCTTCATAGAGACAGGAAGTAAACAGAGCGTTACTGACAGACTGGGACGAGAGGAGCCGCAACAATGGAGAATATGAGGAGAATAATCAACATTCAAGCAGGAAAACCTGTTCTAGTAGAGCCTGAAAGACTAGTGAAAAAGTGCATAATAGGTCCTCTTTATAATAAAGTTTTTTAGCAAGATCAATCTGTCAAATGCTCAAACATTGGACTCAATTGGACATGTTTCAGGATGATGTCACTATTGTTTGTGGGCACGTGAACCATATGAGATTATATTAGAAGATGAGTATCAGTTGATACCTGGGTGGAGCAGCGATCTGCATGGTGAGATCTTCGTCTTGAACCTCCTCCAGGTCTGGAATCACTGGGATGTCTAGAACAAGTAGGTGAAATGCATTTTCCATTGAACTCTAACAAGACATGTAATGTAGTAGCTACTCCTACGGTAAAATAGCTGCCATTAAAGGGATACTCCACCAAAACAAAGGAAAATTCTCTTATCATTAACTCGCCCTCACGCTGTCATGCTTTGTGTTCATGCTTCATATGAACACAAACAGACATTTTTAGAACAATAATCCATCTCTGTTTCTCCATATAAAGCACATGGATGGGACCCTCAAAGTTGACGCTTCATAAACCACACAAAACAAACACTACTGCAATGCATTCGAAACCGCATAAAACAACTAAATTAGCTTGATAGGAAAAACAGCAAACAAGAACACGGCCATAATAAAACTAAATAAATACAAATGCTTTATATACCAAAATATTATGACCTGCACCTGCCTATTTTATTAATAAACTTGATTCAAGCCCAAGCAAGTACTATTACTATGGTCAGAAATAGTGAATACCAAACGCCTCTGGCTTGCTTTGTTGGGAACACGTAAAGGATTAGTTCACTTCAGAATTAAAAAATCTTGATAATTTACTCTCCCCCAAATCATCCAAGATGTTCATGTCTTTCTTTCTTCAGTGGAAAAGAAATGAAGGTTTTTGAGGAACACACTCCAGGATTTTCTCCATATAGTGACTTCAATGGGGTCCAACGGGTCGAAGGTCCAGATATGAGTTTCAGTGCAGCTTCAAAGTCTCGACACGATCCAGCCGAGGAATAAGAGTCTGATCTAGACAAACCAGCCGACATTTATAACAAAATACACATTTATATACTTTTAACCACTAATGCTGGTCTTGCACGAGCAGTGATGCGACACACATTACGTGATCAGGGTGAAAGGTCAAGCGTGACGTAGGTGTAAGAACCGACCCAGTGTTTACAAAGCAAACGTGCAAAGACAGTCAAACGCCATTTAAAAAAAAAAAAGGTAAAACAACGATGTCAGACGATTTTGAAGTTGGAGGAGAAAATGAGAGTTGTGTGCCCTACTCTACATTTTCCGCCTGACCTTTTCAACATGATTACGTAATGTGTAATGGTTAAAAAGCATATACATTTTTATTTATTTTTATAAAATGTCCGCTGGTTTGTCTAGATCAGACTCTTATTCCTCGGCTGGATCGTGTCGAGACTTTGAAGCTGCACTGAAACTCACATCTGGACCTTCGACCAGTTGGACCCCATTGAAGTCACTATATGGAGAAAATTTTTCCTCAAAAACCTTCATTTCTTTACGACTGAAGAAAGAAAGACATGAACATCTTGGATGACGAGGGGGAGAGTAAATTATCAGGAAATTTTAATTTGAAGTGAACTGCAGTCAGTCCCTCAGCTCACCATCGCTGTCGCCAAACTGCTTTGTGTCTAAAATGTGCATAAGTATTGCTCAAAGTTTACTTACAGGAGCGCACATTGTCCCGTCAAGTTTGTTTTGAATAGATCACAACCTTTGTGATGTACGCAAGTTTCAAGCCACGTTTATAAATGAGAACCCATGTTATTTAAAGAGGCAGACGGCAAAACTGCATCACACTTGGAATAATAACCACAACGTTTGTTAATAAAATGAACGTGGTTATGAACGGGCCTTTACACTAGCTAACATAACTCCTAGTTTACAGAAACAAATATTGACTTTTCATAATGGACTTATTACAGTACAGGTGAAACTCGAAAAATTAGAATATCATGCAAAAGTTCATTTATTTCAGTAATTCAAAGGTGAAACGAATATATTATATGGACACATTACATGCAAAGTGAGATATTTCAAGCCTTAATTTGTTATAATTTTGATGATTATGGCTCACAGATATGAAAACCTTTTCACAATATTCTAATTTTGACTTACTAAGCTGTAAGCCATAATCATCACAATTATAACAAATAAAGGCTTGAAATATCTCACTTTGCATGTAATGAGTCTATATAATATACTAGTTTCACCTTTTAAGTTGAATTACTGAAATAAATGAACTTTTGCACCATATTCTAATTGTTCGAGTTTCACATGTATATCGATATCAACACTTTCGGAACGATGAAAACATTGACATCCAATCAGAATACATCCATTTTTTTAAAGACGCAGACTGCAAAACTGCATCACTCTTCTAATAATAAACAGAACGTTATCGTACTTTGGTGTGAATGCTAATAAAACAAACGTTAGTATGAACGGGCCTTTTTGTAACTGCTAAGTTTACATAAACAATCATTGAGTGTCTACAATGGACTTAATACAGTCAGTTTTATTAACTCGCCAAAGCCAATTCAGTTCATGGCTTTAAACTGACCATGTGATCGAGCCACAAAGTTTTCCTTTTCGAGACGCGCGCGGCCATATGCTACAGCCACTGCTGGGTGTTACCGCGAGTTGCAGCATTTCCCACAATCCCTCCAATCATCACAGATGCTGTCTGTCTCCTCGGCACGGCTCTGTTTATATATTGTGTGTGTGAACCGTTTGATTCCCTCCCTCCTCTCAGTGTTTCTCTCACTCTCGCACTGACATCCTCCTCCACGCTGCCCCCCTGTCACGGAGACCAGGCGGCCATGAATATTCAGTGATCGAGACAGTATCTCTCCCCGCTGTGAGGCGGCGCTCCGGCCAGGGGCTCCCCAGAAACCGACACACACTCGCACTCATCCCGGAGCCGAGCATTTGGGCCCTGTCAGCGCCGGCCACCCTCAGGACCTGTCAGGCCAGAGCGGCGACCTGCGTGTCCACTCGGGCCGGGCCGGGCCGGGCTCCAGGAGCGCAGGCCTGCCTGCGAGCCCATCTGTGTGGGGTCGGAAGTCACGGCGAGGCCTGGCAGGAGCCGCGGTGCCAAGAGCCACGCACCCGCTGCCCAGAACAGTGGGAACCCGCTTTAATTGGCAAAACTCGACAGGACAGAGCGTGGCATCGCTCCCAAAGAAGGACAAACTTTCACAGCCCTTCGCCTCCTCTTTTTTTTTTTTTGGACAGGGTTTTGCTGGAGTGCGTTCAGGTGTGGCACGTTCACAAAATCACCGTCACAGTGCTTTACATGGACGAAAGCAGTGCTTTTCTGTATAAAGGAACGTTTTGTTGATCAAATCAGAGCAAAACTTTTGTCACCTTCACCACTTAAAAGTGGAAAAGTTCAAAAACACCAGATGCTTTTATCCGAAAACAAGCGATTCATTTTTACATTCAACCAATGTTGAAAAAAGTAGGTAAGGTAACACTTTATTATGATGGTCCCTTTTACACATTCTGTTGACTATAAGTAACTTTGCAACTACATGTGAACTAACTCTCATTAGAGTATCAGTAGACTGTCTGCTTAATATCTGCCAACTCTTTATTCTGATGCTTTCTAACAGATATTCTACTGACTAGAAGTAACTTTGCAACTATTCATGTCCACTTATTCTAACCCTACTAATACTCTACTAACACTGTGATGAGAGTTAGTTCACATGTAGGTGCAACGTTACTTATAGTCAACTGACTGTGTAAAAGGGACCATCATAATAAAGTGATTATTATTATAAAACACTTTTTATAATAACTTTGACATTATAAATGCCTCCTTCCATACGCTGCTTGGATCTAGTGGAACATTTTAAAACAGTTGAAAGCTCTTCTATTTAAAGAGGCTTTTAGCTAGACTGTAGGCCGGTCTCATGTGCATTTCTGTTTTATTTTATTTACTTATTTAATTTTTGGATTATGTATTGTACGTCCTCCTTTTGTTGTGAAGCACTTTGTGATTTTTATCTGTGAAATGTGCTATACAAATACATTTTACTTACTTACTTACATCTGTCATTAATAAGGTACTTCTATATAACTAACAAACGTGAATTAGCGCTGTTCATGAAGTCATTGAGCCAGTCTTCACGTTGAGTGCGTTTGTGCTCCAGACATGAGTGATTCCTCAAATCAGTGTGTTGATGAGGAAGAGTGTGACGCTACTTTACTAAGTGATCAGCTGGACGAATAAACAGGAGAGAAAAATCCCACAGATGCTCATTGAAGGAGAAACCAGAAGATCACTAATGACATTTAATGACATTTGGCAGACGCTTTTATCCAAAGTGACTTACATTGCAGTCCAAAGTACACATTATTTACATTCTTGTCAGTTCTTGTTTCCCTGGGAATCGAACCCATGACCTTGGCGTTGCAAGCGACAACGCTCTAAAGGAAAGCCTAAAATGCAAGGTCAGAAAAAAGTCATCTAGAATACCATCATTTTGAATGAATAGTTAGTGGCATTGAATGAATCCAAAATATAGTTATAATGATTTCAATTGCTCACTGCCATCTGGTATTTATTTTTTCCCTGAGCTCATGCATTCTGGGATTGCCTTCTCCACCAAAGCTGCGTTATGATCTTAAAAAAAACGAACCCACGATGCCTTGAAACACTCCCTCCACACACACACACACACACACACTATCTCACGGAGATAAACGTGGTCATTTTTAATTCCCTCTCAGACTTCCTGAATCCTGTCACAAAAGCCACGTTCAATTCATCTCCCTGACCCTCATAACAAGCCCCGTTATCCTACATTGATAACTTCTTCCTTTTCTCTCATTTTTAATTAAAGCTAATTAAAAATGCCAGCCTCGTTTAGTCACTGACAAGATTCATCTGTGTTCCTGATACACAAATAAATGCAGGCGCGCACGAGCGCTGCTTCATATTCATGAGCGCGAGGTGACAGCGTCCCCTCATTGCTAAAGCGTCTGGTTCAGCAGATTCGGGCCCCCGCGGACCCGCAGTCAAATCTAATGCTCTTAGAGCAATGACATCAGAAAGCCTTCGCAAACAGGCCGCCGGACCTGAACTTTTACACCCTCCCTGCGTCTGGCCCGATAATGCACCGTCGACACAATCCTCAATGTGAAGCGCCGAGAGGAAAAGCTCTCGCTATGCAAACGCCATGATTAAGCGGCCAGAGAAAACAGCGTTTTGTTTAATGAGGTCGCGATACGACCTGTGACACACAAGGTCGAGGGGGAATCGACACTGACGCGTCGCAGAAACCCGGCTTTGATGCTGATTCTATCAAAAAGTCGAGTGTCGCCACGTCTCTACAAGATGACCACATTATTCTCTTGTCTATATTTGTGAGTTCAAGCAACTTTCTCACGAGTAAAGGATCGGATTCGGTGAGCGAGCTCATGAGGGCGGGCGACGTTGCTCAGACATCAGTATGATGATTTATGACTGATGGCAGCATAAGCAACTAGTTATGAGTTTGATATGCGTTTAGTATCATTGATATACCAAGAATGAAATAAATTTTTTACATTTTCTCTAAGTTTTAGTCATTTTGTCTTTTTCTTTTTTTAGGGCTGTGCAACGAATAATCGCATCCAAAATAAAAGTTTGTGTTTACATAATATGTGTGTGTACTGTGTATAATTATTTTTTAGATATAAATACACACACACATGCATGTATATATTTAGGAAATGTTTGCATGTATATACTGTATATATATTTAAATATAAATATTTTATTAAAAAAAATTCTTAAATATATACATGCATGTGTGTATCTATATCTAAAAAAAAATATTATACACAGTAGTACACACACGTATGTATAAACAAACTTTTATTTTTGATGCGATTAATCTTTTTTAAATATAGTTTTTATTAAGTTTCATCAGTTTATTTACCTTTAGTTATTTTAGTACTTAAACCAAATGCAACTAGCGGAAATAAATCCAGTATATTGACAATATATTAGCAGATGTTGGTTCATTGGTTTATATTTGACATTCATTCACAAATTTCTAAATCTAACAACTTCATTTTCTGTTATCAAATTTGCTTTTAGTGTATTTTTGACACTCAATCAGTAAAGATTATGTATTTGATTGTAGTTTAATGCATATTCTGGCAGCTGTATCCAGTATGTTATTTCTGCATAATCTCTTTATTTTATCATCATTTAAGGTCTCTTTGTCATTTATGAGTGCAGCATTTGGCCTGAAGATGGCATGTTTCGATCGGGTCTTTTAAGCCTAATGTAAGTGTGTTTGCCGCTGGTGTGTGTCATGAAATAATGTTTCAGAATGTGTAATAATTTATCAATCGCAGCAGCTGGAAGCTCACGGGATAAGCCTCTTTATCAGCCCTCTTATGGAATGTCGAACAGTAAATTAGCAGCCATTAGCTTCAGTTCTGTTTGAATTTCATACGGCGTGTTCATGGTGGAGTGAATGTGTTTGAAGTGAACCCGAGCTCCAGGGAATCATCTATACTCACCGCTTTCAGTGTCGGAGCCCTCGGGGGTTTGAGGCCTCAGACGCCGGCTTCACACACGGGGAGAGACAGAGTTAAACACAAGAGAACAGGGACAAATACTCGATCCATGAACAAAACACACACACACACACACACACGACGGTTTTATTAATGAAAACCACGCTTTTTAAAAACGCTCTCCAAAGTGGACAAATTTGAAAACGCCATTTTCGTGTTGTAGTGTGGACTGTCAAAACTGAGGTATTGGAAAACGATGACATAAGTTTAGTCATGTGACGCATACAGGTGAAACTCGAAAAATTTGAATATCGTGTAAAAGTTCATTTATTTCAGTAATTCAACTTAAAAGGTGAAACTAATATATTATATTAAATGAGATATTTCAACCCTTTGTTATAATTTTGATTATTATGGGCTTACAGCTTATGAAAACCTTTTCACAATATTATAATTTAGAATTTGGTGTTTTCATAAGCTGTAAGCCACAATCATCAAAATTATAACAAGTAAAGGCTTGAAATATCTCACTTTGCATGTAATGAGTCTAGTTTCACCTTTTTGAATGACTGAAATAAATGAAATTTTGCACAATATTCTAATTTTTCGAGTTTCACCTGTATTATACCCATAGATGTTTATAGCGGTGTTGTGCCTGTTATGTGCGGTTCACTTTCACACAGTCGCTAAAATATGTTACTTCACACACTCTTCATATCACAGTCCTGCACAGATGACAGAATTCACTCGCATTTGCTAAACATGAGCAGTTTTAGTGTTTTAGACCAAACATATAACGGTGAGTGAGAGCGACGGGACGCTTCAGTGAATGCTGAGATATTCTGCTAAATAAAATTATCCTGCCAGAAGAATTACGCGATAACTTTATTATTTATTTTCCCGTCTGTATCATCTCAGTGAGCTTCCGTGAGGGTTTACGCATGCGCAGTAAAGGGGAATTTAGCGTTAGGGTTAGGGTTAAAACGTCAGTGTGGACGGAGAGTGTTTTTAAAACGAAAACGGCGTTTTCAAATGTATCTGGATTAATGTAGACGTAGTCTCTCTCACACACACACACACACAATGTTGCATAGTTTTCTATAGTCAGCTAAATCATGTGAATATATTGTGAATGTGTGTCTCGTCGTCCAGTTCTCGTGGTCTCAACGCTCCTGATAACCACAGGTTATACATGTGAACTCCACCATCATGCCTTTTAATCAGAGTGATTGTTCTCGCATTAACCAAGGACACTTTCAGTATGCCGGTAATTTCCTCCTTAAATCAGGAGCATAAACAAACATGTCCTTTTCTTAAGACTGCGGTTCCTAATCACTGCATGCTAATCTGAATCATGAAGGCAGTAACAGCAGAAGATAGTGAACTCACTCCTCCAGCTCTTCAGCAGCCTGCCGTCTTCCAGACCTGTGGAGGACATCACAAATCAAACTTACAACAATCAACCAGCACAATCACAACTCCTCGAATTCACTCAATCACTCCAAGTGTGTGTATCTGTGTCTAGCGAAACGTCTTCTCCTCTCATCTAGAACTCAGCAGAAACAGACAGCTTTCATTAATCACCATTCATTTTAAAATAATCATTTGTATGCATTAATATGGTGAAGAATAATTTTCACACTGTTTTGGAAAATAGTATAGACTATTTATTTGAACCATTCTTCAGCTCGAGCTTCACGAGTCTTTCTGTGTCAGATCTGACCTGATTTATCAAGGAATAACTTTGATATTGTTAGTAATATTTCAGCTGGACTGAAGCAGCTTCGCTTTACTTGATTATCATACATCATTTATTTATGCGTATCAAATATGATCATCAGGCTTTTGAGGAAGATTTATTAGTTCATCTCTCAATCATCATTGCATTGCATTATATGATTTAAAACTACAGAGCTTTGATCATAATACTAAGCATTTAAATATCAGATTACTAAGACATTATTGGCAGATATTGATATTTATATGCATTTTATGAAAGTATTTGCTATACTGTTATAAATATCTCATTGATTTACAAAAAAAAAGCATCATAATCTTTTTGTTCATATTAATATCAGCATCTGCACCAATTTGAATATTTTTACTCAGTTTGGGCCTGTGAATAAAACTGAGCTGTTTTTTCCTCCACATTATCAGACTATATTAGCCATAAAAGCCTGATTTATCAAATATGATACTGCATTTTATATATATATATAAATATTTCAAAATATATATTAAATTTCTCTCTCTCTCTCTCTCTCTCTCTCTCTCTCTCTCTCTCTCTCTCTCTCTCTCTCTCTCTCTCTCTCTCTCTCTCTCTCTCTCTCTCTCTCTCTCTCTCTCTCTCTCTCTCTCTCTCTCTCTCTCTCTCTCTCTCTCTCTCTCTCTCTCTCTCTCTCTCTCTCTCTCTCTCGTCTAAACATTCAATAAACTGTTCAATTTTTTTTTTTTTAACTACTATTACTATTACTTCATATGTCGGGCTCCACACGTTTAGAGGAGCTGTACTGGAATCCTGCTGGTGTTTAGCGCCATCTAATGGCTCCTGAGATTGACTCTGTTCATTTGCAGTATAATATACTACATCTGTGTGAAATTCTGCTAGAATAATACACATTTCACTGGAGCAGACAAAACAGACTTTAACATTTATGGGTGTTGAAACAAAGGTCACAGAAATATGACCAAACTCTTGTGTGTTTTCTGTGTGTTCGAGGGTCATGAAATTGCTGATAGTGAGTTCTCATTACAGCGCCATAAACATGCTAACACTGCCAAGAAAAGTTGTTCGGGATAAAATATATTGTGACAATTTGGCCTCAAAGATTCATCAATAAACTGACAGATCATTTAGTGTCAATTAGAAGTGATAGATCTGCAAATCCCGGGATTTCTGCCGTGGGATTAGTGGGAACAGAGCGCCGGTGATTGAGCACGAGGGGTGACATTGAGATGAAGAAGGAGTCCTTGTCTTCTTCAGAGGGGGCGATTACTTTGTTTCAGAAGCAGAATCAATGCGTGGAGAAGGCCTTTAACACCTCCCAGCCGGCAGAATCAAGAGGAGTTTGGCAGCCGTGCAGAAGTGACGCTTTGACCTTTCCGGAGAGTTTGCTTTATCCTCCGGTCTCGGAGCCAATGGATACGGGGTTTTCGCAGTGATGCCATAACAAGAAAAATATTAGCCGGATTCCCAAAGAACCTTTAGACGAACAGCTCTTAAAAGAACCAGTTTTTCTAAGTGGAAAGAACATTTTAAAAATCTAAAAGAACCTTTTTTCACCATAAAGAACCTTTTGTCCAATGGAAGTTAAAGATTGTTTATGGACCCATCGATGCCCATAAAGATCCTTTATTTTGGAGAGTGAACTTTAATTTCTCCAGTATATGTATATATACAATAACTTGCTATTTACAAAAACATTCAAAAGTTTGTGGTGTGTAAGATTTTTCAAATGTATTTAAAATAAGACTCTAATCAAAATACAGTAAACACCGTGAAATATTAAAATTGTGCATGTGCATAAAGTGTAATTTATTCCTGTGATCAAAGCTGTATTTTCAGCATCATTACTCCAGTCTTCAGTGTCACATGATCCTTCAGAAATCACTCTAATATGAGGATTTGATGCTCAAGAAACATTCATGATTATTATTAATGTTGAAAACAGCTGCTTCATATTTGTGTGGAAATACTCATACATTTTATTTTTTCTGGATTCAAAAGAACAGCATTTATTTGAAATATAATCTTTTGTAAAATTAAAAATGTCTTTACTGTCACTCTTGATCAATTTAATGCATCCTTGATGAATACAAGTAAATTTCATTAAAAAAAAAAAATACTGTTATTAAGATTAAAATAAATAGTGATTTTACTATAGATTTTACCATTAAAATCACGAATGTACTTATATACGATATAAAGTTGGGGGGAAAACAACTGTGTCATATGCACCGTCATATGAAGCGTTTTTTCTCAATTAAATACTGTAAAAATCCATATCGTGTCATTTATTGTGATATCAAGGTCTCATCTTCAAAAAATAAGGTTTTTAGATATTATCAATTTAGCTCTTGAGAGTACTTAATATTGGATCGAACCACTTTAATTTTGAACCGCATCTTCATATCTATTAAATAAAATTAGCAACACGAGCTTTACTGATATATATTAAAAAGGCAAACACTCTTACTGTTGAGATTCTGTGGTTTTCTCTGACGAGATTCACTATTATGCTAACACTGGAACTAAATGCACACATATGATGCACATGTAAATGTACTGCAGACTTTAGAGCTCATACACACTTTAAAATAGATTATTTTCAGATTTAAAGATTATTATAGCTCGTTTTACAAGAAAATACTATTTCAGTCTTTCTTCTTCAAAATTACATGTTGAATTCAATGTATTTCTTGCCATTTCTTTGTCAATTATTTGTGAAATTGACTTGTGATTTCTGAGGGAAAACTCTTTCTACATATTTTTCATTGTACATTGAACGGTTTCAGAATGATGAATTTGATGAGCATGTTTATCAGAGACTTTATATGTTTCTGTTTTCTTACATTAGAGTTTACAGGCGAATTACTGAAATAAATGCTGCCGTTAGGAGGGATCGTGATGTTCATTTAACAGGAGATGATGCCATCATGTGGCCACTGACGGACATTGCTTGCTGTTCCTCGAATGGAGTGAGCAACAAATCCTATAGGACTAGGAGTATTTATTAAAAGTGTTTTACATCCAAAAATCATGCTATAATGATAATGATAAAATAAATACTACTGTAAGAAATGCTCAACTACTGCAGTGATTGCTGGATTGCAAAGACATCTCACACATCATGATGCATGTCCACTTTCCTGTTCGATATTTACATTTATTCATTTAGCAGACACTCTAATCCAAAGCAACCTACAAATGAGGAATACTACAGGCAATTTATCTTTACAGGGTTCGTACAGACACTGTAAAATTAAATTACAGGACTTTCAAGGACTACTTTTTTGGTTTTCAAGGACTACAATCAGAGATATCACTAATCAAACAATATCTTTCTTACCTTTGTATTAAAAAAAAGAAAGAAAAGGTAAATAGATATAAAAATAAACTAATAAAACAAAATGGTACAACTAAAGTGCAGCACATGCAATGACTGCTGTAACTTTAATCATTTAAAGCCTAAAGGACACTTTCCTTATTCAAACTGATTCGACAGACCTGAAGAATGAAAGCTGTATCATATACGTGGATATTAATATGAGCAATATCACACTCATAGCCATGCGAAATACCTCTATATCTATATCAGACGGAGTGAGGAGGTCGAAAAGATTGTTTTATCAATAAAATTAAACATTAATTTCACATATATTGTCTTTTCAAGTACCTTTTCATAAATATTGCCTACGGGTTTTCCAGGATTTAAATAAAATAACTTTAAGCAGCTTGTACGAACCCTGTCTTAAAGAGGAATTAAACACAAGAAGTGTTAGAAATACAAAGTTTCAGACATCGTTCAGAGACTAGAAAGAGAATTAATTATTCTTATTCCATCTTATTACAGTTTTTTACAATCACTTTGCTACTATTTTCAGAACCTTGATGTCATTTTTCAAAACTCTAGACACAAAACTCAAAACGGTTATCACTTGTAACACAGGCTGTCTAATGTTCGAAACATTGCATTGTGCATTCACATCTTTAAAGAAATCTTGCACTTGCACAATCATTGGTTCAAATTTACTGTGAAATACCATTGAAACATAACTATAGATCACCCACACACAAGCAACCGATAGTTTCACTGTGTCATTGTTCGTACAATCATTAAATATTGTAGAACACAAAAGGTGATCCAGGTTTCATCATGGTCTACATGTACAGTAAACACATCTCTGTGAACGCACTGCAGTCGTAGAGAGAATACACACATAGTGGAATCACTGAACAAAGTGTGTAATATATTGATGCAAAACACTACAGTACAATCACAACACAGGTTTATTGGAATCAAAGCAAAAATATAAAATATTACTGTAGGCTACATCCATGGGTATTGTAGTCTAATTGGTTCATGCTCCACGCTAATTGGTGACACTGACAATGAATCTCGTTATCTTGAAACTTTCATGATTTACTGTAAACATGGAAGATTATGTGTCTGTTTCCATACAACTATGCATTAAGAGTAACGCAATAGTTCCTTATCATTTTGAGCAGTTGTATCAGCTGATAGTTAGATCATTGTAAGGAAATGAATAGACACTCATTTGAAATGTAATGTGTGAATTGCCTTTAGAAATAGAAGTACTGTGATGTTAAGTTGTGTCATATTGAACAGGTGATTTTTGTTGAATGAACAAATGATCTAAGTTGTATGTGTATTGTATCCAAGCAATTGAAAAATGTGCATTTTGATCATTGGTTGTGAGTTTTGTGTCTAGAGTTTTGAAAAATGACATCAAGGTTCTGAAAATAGTAACAAAGTGATTGTAAAAAACTGTAGAACAATAATTATCTGTTTAATAAAATGCTGGACTGAAACACTGCGGTTTAATAGAGTGTGTGTGGAACTGTTTCTTATTGACAGCACGTGTTGAGTCGATGTAGGGCAGAACCGTGTGGGCTTTTAGAAAGGCCATCTCAGGAATCTGGAGGTTTGTAGTGTACTCACTTGGCAGATCCGGTTCCTGCGCTCTCCTCCGCCCATCCTCCCTGCCGGCGGGCCGGTTTCGGTGGAGGACCCTGGGATCAAACACACACACTCTCAGTACATACACAGCACAACATCACGTCTCATGTATGAGCGCTCAAACAGATGTGTGTCTTCACATTAACTACTAAACATTTCAGGTAGGCACATCATAGTTTGCTAATGCTAGTATTGAAGAGCACCTGTTATTCTTTTGTCCATGTGCATCTGTCTTTAGTGTGTGATGTTGCTGCTTGAGCATGAAAAAGCTCCAGTTGTTTCTCTATATCAGTGTTTCTGAACTCCTGAAACGCCTCCATTGTAGTCTTGAGTTTCTTCCGGGACGAACACGTCACAATATTCCTCATTATAATAATTAATACGCAGAATAAAGGGGCGGGGCCTGGTTGTGTTAGTTAGTAGTGTGTTAAACTGGCGGTTATGGGAAGGGGCGGGACATTTCCCAAACACACTCGAAACGCTCGACCAATCACAACACACTGCTCCAACCGACCAATCAGAGCACAGTGTGCTTTTCAGAAGGAGGGGCTTCATAGAGACAGGAAGTAAACAGAGCGTTACTGACAGACTGGGAAGAGAGGAGCCGCAACAATGGAGAATATGAGGAGAATAATCAACATTCAAGCTGGAAAACCTGTTCTAGTAGAGCCTGAAACATCATCAAGACTGTAAAAGGCCATAATAGGTCCTCTTTAAATGTTTTTTTGAACAGCAACTATAAGGTAAACAAAAGACAGGCGTACAACGCTAATCACATCTTCTGATTCTTTATTATGACTATTTTCCATACGCTAGAGTAATAGTGCAGTGATGAAAACTGTGAAATAACACAAATGCAGGTCTGGGAATGATGGAGTGATGAAAACGTGACACAAATGAAAACTCTTATATTTGAGTTTGTTCTGTGTCTAGATCAGGACATTCATCAGGTGCATCCTGGGATGCTTTTAGACAGTAGTGGAGGAGGAACATGTGTCTCCTATAACTATCTGGTACAACTCATTTACAGCAAATTAAGTAAATATACAAAACAAATAATTAGTAAATAATTACTAATAGTAAATATACAAAACAAATAATAAGCAAATATATAAAAACAAATAATTAATACAATAAATTCATAGGCAGAATTTATATATATATATATATATATATATATGTCTTTACTGTCACATTTGGTGAATTTAATGCGTCTTTGCTAAATTACAGATTATTCTTTACTCTTTTTTCTTCTTTTTATTTAATCTTACCCTAAACTTTTGGATGGTAATGTAATAATCTGTAACATTCTGATAATAATGATAGTAATGATAGTAATGATGCTGAAAACACTTAATTTAAACTGTAATACTATTTAACAATTTCACAGTTTTGACTGTATTTTTAATCAAATAAATGCAGCCTTGATGAACAGAAGAGACTTCTTTCAAAAACATTAAAACATCTTAATGAATCCAAACTTTTATATAAAGAGCTGGGTTATAATATGTTATGAAATAGCGCTGAAATAAGCGAGTGTAGGACAGTCAGAGCGCGCTGAAGGGGTTTGAGGGACCGGTGTAAGTGTGGGAACCGCTCTGAGCGGGCATGACCCAAAATAGCTTCACAGCAGAAAAAAACATCTCACTTTATTCTTTCATTCTGAAAATAGTCGTTTGGGCCACGGCAGCGGTTCCACGAGCAGCAGAAGAACGGTCCAGCTTTAACGTGACAGAATTCCTCGGGGCACAACAAGGGTGGGCAACACACACACGCGTTTGAAAAAAGATATTCTCATTACCAAATTGGGTCTGCAAATAAGCCAGAGCCCTGCAGGAATTCAGTTACTCTCGCATAAGAAACACAGCAGAGCAAATAAACTTCCGTTCCTGGGTTCCTTCAGCAGGGTCATTTGTAAATCCTGATGTCAGGATGGGGGGGGGGGGGGTCGCTCTGCATTCCACCTCAAATGAGACGCTACATGTCTTTCATGCAATTCGTGGAAAATGGGTCAGCAGAGAGAACAAGGGGAGTGAATATTAATGAGTGTTCATCAATTCACCTGAATAAAATCACATAAAAGTCTGCTGTACTGAAGATATGAGCAGTTCAATTCAGTGCATCTACAGTGGAATAAAAATAAACCCTCAAAAAAAAAAAAAAATGCATGAATGCAAGTTAAAAATTCTAAATTATTGCTATAATTAAACCTTTTAAGTTGCATAAATTGTACAACATTATTTTGACGAGTTCTGTTGTAGATAATTACATTTGTGAGGAAATGAACTCTTTCCCCGCCAGCCTTTTGTTTTTAAGTTGCCAGCCGATTCAAACAGTAGCCTGGATGCCAGCCGAGCTTAGCCCCGCCCACAACATCTGAGGATGGGAAGTTCGGTCTGGACTTGATCCGTTGTGACGCAACTATGTCCAAAGCTGTTCGGACCAATCAAATTGTCAAAGGCGGGCTTTATACGATGATGGACAGATGATCAACAGTAACGTAATCATCCACGTCACCAAGAGCGCTTGGGTTGAGTTCGTTTACAACAGAGATGGCCGCCGCTGGAGAACTGAGATGTGTAGATTCAGCCGTCGCGTCTGTTATAGGAGATGTAGACAGCGCATTCATTATAAAAGAGGAACAGAGAACCGCGATCACGGCATTTGTCGATCCAGTTGAGTGCAGAGGCTTTTTCTTTCCGTGTTGGGTTGAAACGCCCCATAAACACAGCCCAATGGAGCCGTATCAGACTCACATGCTGACGAGAGTCTGAGTATGACGACGTCAGGATACCACGCCAGCATTTTTTTTTTACTTTCATGGTCCACAGAATATTTTGTTGTAAGAATATGTATAAAAAAATAAAAAAAAAATAAAAAAAAAATAATGCTGGTAGGTCGCAATACAGATACAACATGGCGAATGTAGTATGTGCAGATTACATTACAACATACTTTTTTAGCGGTCGTTGAGTATGTTTAAAAGAAGTACCAACTCAGAGTTTCAGACGCAGCTTGAATGATTCCTGGATGAATCAGCTGTTTGAGTGAATCGGTTGAGGGAATGACTCACTCATTAAGACAGTGACGTGCCGCCACCTACTGACAGTTTTAGTTTCATATTTTAACTATCATTTCATTTAAAAAAAATAAATAATTTAAATCATAAAAACATAAATGTTTCAGTACTTCAAATATAATGTCTCAGTATACTAACTGAATATAAATGTAGGAATTTGGTATTAAAGATGATGCAAACATCTAAGGTTATACAAATGTGCCCCCTTATAAATGTAAAACTGCACCTGGAAATAAATTTGATAAATTTACACGACAACAATGTACTAAGAACGGAAAAGTTTTTCCTTTGCATTTTTCGCATACAGACGACGGACAACATTGTCAAAACGCTCACAGTTCACATGAATTAGCGGATATTATTAAAAGTTGCGTTTTTATATATATATATATATATATATATATATATATATATATATGCGTGCATTAAAAGTACCATCCCAGCAGCGAGAATGATACTGAACCAAATAAGATAAGATCAGATAAGACTACATCCCTCAATGAGTCAATGAGTGAGAGAAAAGAAAGAAGATTTAAAAGTTAAATGCCTCGTCATGCGCAAGATGCACGAGATGCAAGCGCAACGGTTAAAGACGTCTGTCTAGTGTGTGTTTACACTGAAAAACAAGGGAAAGGTAGCACAGTGGAATGGAAAAACGCGTTCTGTAATAGCTAGGGCTGTCCCTTTTGTGGGAAAAATCCTGTTCGATTTTTGAGTCATAAGTGTTCATTAAATCGATTGTAAAATCTATTTTCCATCTAAAGACGTTTCCACTTTCAACACCAAATACAGGCAAATCCACGGACACCTAACAGGCATTAGGACGAGCGTAAAGAGGGCGCTTGAGACGCACAAGTCAGCAATATTCCTGATGATTTATTGGCGTGAAGTTTCAGCACAATGACAAACAGGAGCGCAACATTCAGGGATTGAGATTAACACCCTCGACCCGCCAAATGCGGGTACAAATGAACTTTGGCGGGAAACGCTGTCAAATCACGAGCCAATCTGGCGTTTCTGTGTTTACTCACTTTGCTGGGGAAGTTCGTGTAAGACAAATCTGCGCGGATTTAGCGCAAATACGCAACTCGTGATCCTCATGATATATTAAATACAGCGTATTGCAAAATCTGCGCATTTCTGGCTCACTTGAACACACACACACACACACGTCACTACGCAACACATAACGGCACGCTTGTTCACTTGCATTGAAGTAATAGCGAATATTAAAAAGCATTTGGTGAACAGTTATTGTCCAGCATCCCACATGTTCTGTGTGCTGTATTGATCCGTCCACCTAACACACATTTTTCGTAAAAAAAAAAAAAGGCCGTTAAAATCTATTCCCTATTTTTGTTTTCGAACCTTGTGTTGAAACCGATCGATTGTGCACTCGATTTTCGAACGTGAAGTGACAGCCCTAGTATGAACGGCCCCTAATATTCCTGCTGCTATCTGTGTTTTTAATGTTAATCAAACCATAAAAGACAAAGAAATCACTCACTGCTCTTCACTGGATAACTTTTGTAACTTTAGTAAGGATTCATCTTCATTTAATTCATTTAATTCTGAGTTCTACATATCTCACCTTTAAGAAATCATTCAGTTTCTTAGAACCATGACACAATAATTCAGACAAATAACTTCAAATCACTGATAAGTGAGTCAAGAGTGAATTTAGCATGAGGATCAACGTTGCACAGATCTCAATACCGCTGGATGCTCGGATACAAGTAAAACATACATTTGCAAAGAAACTAAATTAAACAACACTGACTATCAAGACATGAGGAAAACAGGCCTGTCACTCATCATGGCAGAAACATGTATTTCGTGTAGATGTGAGGTCACAGGGGACTCAAGAATCCTGGTTTTACATCGGAAAACGCAGCCTAATTTGGAAAGTTTAAAAAAAAAAAACATAGCTGGGATTCCTACAGATTCGTGTACGGCTCTCAGCGCTCTTGGGGA